GGTACCGCCCCCGGGACGCGCCCGGCCAACCCCGGAGTGAGCCGCGGCGCACTTGCAGCAAGTGCTGCAGGCGCGGATCCTGCTCCGCAGGCGCTCAGGGCGGCGCTTTCCTGGTTTCACCCAGACAAGTTACCACCCGCCTGGGCCGAGAGCTCGGCTTCCTCAGAGCAGCGGGACCGGGCGAGGCCGTGCGCAAAACGTAGTCCCCGCCCTTTGAGTCATCCGCTCACCTGGCTGTGCCTGGGCCAGGCTGGGTAGCAGGGTGGGCTGGAACAAATCCCCAGGTCGCCCCCACCACACTTGAGAGGCATCTCTGAACCGGTCGCCTGGAGACTTGGATTGTGTCCCTGATTGGCTTTGCCACTTTGGAAAAGCCAGTATACTTGTGTGGGCCTCAGTTTCCCTTCTGTACCATAAGAGGCTTGAACTAAAGGCTCTCCAACCGATAAAAGTGAAAACGTGGGCTTCTGGAGTGAAACTGCCTGGGTTTGGCTCCCATCTCGACTTGCCCAAGCCTGGTCACCTTGTTTGCCTTTTGGCCCTCATTGCTGGATAGTGATTAAAAAACGGTACTTTCTCTGGAGGCTGAATCAGAAAGATAGCGAGTTCAAAGCCAGCCTCAGCAATGGTGAGGCACTTAGCAACTCAGTGAGAGGCTGTCTCTAAATAAAATACAAAATCGGACTGGGGATGAGCTCAGTGGTTGAGTGCCCCTGAGTTCAATCCTGGTACAAAACAAAAAAACAAAAACAGTACTTTCCTCTTAGAGTTGCTGTGAAGTTTGAGAAAAGAAATGCATGTAAACAGCTCAGGATATGTGCTCAACAAATGTTAGCTATTAATCCTTCTAGAATCAATGAGTTTAGGGTTTCTCCAGCATTCTGGGCCCAAAGCAGGATAATCATCCAGGACCAGCACTGAAGAGCAGTTTTAATCCAAAACTGACTGCTTGCTTGCTTGTTTGCTGGGCCCCCCAGAAAGGCAGGCCTGACAGCAGGCTTTACTCCTCCACCTGGCAGAATGAGGGAACTCAGTCCAGCCTCATCAGGTTCCCCAGAGTCCAAATTTGGCCACACTCATGGGACTTAAAACTGAAGGGCTCTTGTCACAGTTCCTAATCCTACAGGGGATGCTTCAGGACATTCTGATGCCTTTTGGGTTCCCTATTATCTCCCCTCCTTTCCTGGTGGTGTGTTGGGTTTCAAGGTTCCAGACCTGACAGAGACTGTGCTAGGGCAGGTGACTCCTCTCAGCTCTGGAGGTGACCTGATTTCTCTGATCAGACAGGTCTGGTGACTTTCTCTTAATGGGGTAGGTCCTGGGAAAGGAACTCTTTCTTCTTTTCTCTCCACCTCTGACTTTTTGCCTCTTGTTTCCTGACCACTCATAAGGGAAGAGATGATGCTGGGCGCGGTGGAGCACACCTATAATCCCAGCAGCCCTGGGAAAGGAAAAGGAAAAGGAAAAGGAAAAGGAAAAAGAAAAGGAGAAATGAGCTGTCCTAAGGTAGTGTGTTGCTGTTGAAGAATTTCAAAAGCAGATGATGTGGATTACCATATCAGACACTTATGGCTACATACTATACTTGGTTGAGATACTGTAATGATGTCAGACCTTTTTGTCTGTAACATATTTAAACACCACCAAAACCCTAATCAAACCAAAAGTAAGATTTACTGCCTTCTTTTCCTGGTCTATATTTGACATTTTGAAAATTTCAAGTTAGGTATAATGGCACATGCCTGTAATCCCAGCCATTTAGGAGGCTGAAGCAAGAGGATCACAAGTTCAAGACTAGCCTCAGCAACTTAGCAAAGCCCTTATGCCTTAGAGAAACTCTGTTTTAAAATTTAAAAAAATAAAATAAAAAGGGCTGGGGATGTAGCTTAATGGTAAAGCACCCCTGGGTTTGATTCCTGGTACCAATAAATAAATAAATAAAAATTTTGGTCCCACTGCTAATAGGTACAGGGTGGTTTTTGTTTGGTTTGGTACTGGGGATTGATCCCAAGGGTGCTTTATCACTGAGCCATAAACCCAGCCCTTTTTACTTTTATTTTTAGATTTTGAGACCAAATCTCACTAGGTTGCTTAGGGCCTCACTAAATTGCTGAGGGTGATCTGGAACTTGTGATCCTCCTACTGCCCCAGCCTCCTGAGTTGCAAAGACTACAGGCATGCACCATTGTGCCCAGCAGTACAAGGTTTCTTTGGGGGTATAAAATATTCTAATTTTAAATACTGTGAAGTTGCACAACTTTGTGAATATGAACTGAGTTGAACACTGTAGAATGGTGAAATTTACAGTAAGTCAATTATATCTCGATTGAAAAGTCTATCCAGAGGCTAAATGTATAGCTTGTGTAGAGTGCTTGCCTACTATGTGAAAATCCCTGGGCTCAATCTCCAGCAAGGATATTTTTTAAAAATCTGTCTCAAAAGGCAAAACAGATAAAAATGCCAAGTTCCATTTGAAATTTCACAGTGGCTATTCATTACTTTCACTTGATCATTTTTTTTAACCTTTTCCAAATTTCAAAGTCACATTAAGTCAAAAAATTTTTTAAATATTTTTATTTTTTTTAGTTGTAGTTGGACACAATACCTTTATATTATTTATTTATTTTTATGTGGTGCTGAGGATCGAACCCACGGTCTCACACATGCTAGGCGAGTGCTCTACCACTGAGCAACCTCAACTCCTAAATCAAAATTTGACTAGCTGGCCAGGCGCACTGGCACACACTTGTAATCCCAACAGCTTGGGAGGCTGAGACAGGAGGATCACAAGTTCAAAGACAGCCTCAACAAAAAGTGAAGTGCTAAGCAACTCAGTGAGACCCTGTCGCTAAATAAAATACAATATAGTACTGGGGATGTGGCTCAGTGGTTGAATGCCCCTGAGTTCAATCCCTGATACACACATACATACACACACACAAAAAAAAAGAAAAATTGACTAGCCACCTTCCCTTTCCTGTTAACATATAAACAGAGATCAGATATGCTGTTTTACCAATGCCTTACATTTTTATTTGTTATTACTTATTTATGTATTTATTACTGTGCTGAAACTTGAACCCAGGGCCTCATGCATATGAAGCAAGTGCTCTACAATTGAGCTAACCCTCAGCCCCTAACCCCTTACATTTACATAGGTGCATTTATTTAATTATAATTTCCTTTCTATCTGATTCTACCTGTGAGTTTGCGGCTACATCCTGGGTTTATTTCTCTCATAGAGTTCCCTAAAAATGGCATGTCCCATTATTTCTTTTTTCCCACAGTGACTCCAGCAAGACAGAACCTGAGTTTAAAACCCTCTTAAAAATGCCTGGAGTGAGGTTAGTGCCAGATTCTCTATTCTGGAAAAAGAGATACGGCTGGTCCTAAAATGAGACAGGGCTGTCTAGACAGAGACCAGGCTCACAAAGATTCAAGCAATCCCAGTCCTATCCTTTCTACACTGCCAGATTATCTTCCAGGAAATGGAGAACTAGGGCTTATGAAGATTTCCCTCCTAAGAATTTGAATAGTAACAGGGAAAATTTGCAATCTAAAATTCTCTAGCAAAGGTACTACTTCCTTCTCAGAACGAAGCAGTTACCTCAGGTAAGGCCAAGTCACTGGGTCAGGCAGGCCACTGTGGTTCCTTCCAGAAAAGCAAGGTACTCCTCCCCATTGCGCTCGCTCCTCTCTCTCTCTCTCTCTCTCTCACACACACACACACACAATATCCAAATATCCTTTTTTTTTTTTAAAGAGAGAGTGAGAGAGGAGAGAGAGAGAGAGAGAGAGAGAGAATTTTTTAATATTTATTTTTTAGTTTTCGGCGGACACAACATCTTTGTTTGTATGTGGTGCTGAGGATCGAACCCAGGCCGCACGCATGCCAGGCGGGCGCGCTACCGCTTGAGCCACATCCCCAGCCCTATCCTTTGTTTTTAAAGAAAACTTATTTCAGATGTTTGCACCAAGATTGCTCTTCTGACCATTAGTGCCCCTCTCCAGCTCTTGACTAGAGATCAGAGTACAGCTCACATCACTTATATGTGCTAAGTAGTTTCATACCTTAATTCTCACAGCAATGCATATTACCATGTTTCCTTTGCATATGCAGAGACTGAGGCTCAGAGCAGCTAAATCACCTAATAACTAAGGTCATAAAACTGCTTATGTGTTGAGAGTGGGAGAGGAGCTGACTTCAAGCCTCACAATCTTTAAGCAACTACAGTTATTTTCAAACTGTGTTTACAGAGCTCCCTAGAAGCTGCCATGGGATAGAAGCACAGGTTGTCTGGGTTTCCTATTTTCACACAACTTCGGCTAAAATAGCCACACATATGTCTGTTTTGTACATTGGAGTTTCATGAGTTAAAAATAAGTTTGAAAAGAACCACATTGTGCTGTGATACTCTGTTTCTGTTTTGGACTTTCCAAGAAACAAGAAAGCCTTTTTCTTACTCTACTCTCAATCTAACCAATCCAGAGCTTGGCAGAAAGAAATTGTCTAAAATGATTGTAAAATGGACCAGTTTTCTGGCTCACTCACCAAGTTAAAGTTTTCTTGACCTGGTTCTATCCCTTATTCCTTTAAATTCTTCACTCTATTCACAGGGCCCACCCCACACACTCCACATCCCTGCTTTGTTTGGGGTAGAGAAGGCAGGTTTCTGAGGGCAGGTTCCCCTCCCCTTAGGATACCTGTTCCCCACCCCCCCAGCCTCACCTACTCACTGAATCAGGAGCCAGGAATGTCTGTGGGGGCAGCAAACAGGTATGTCACCCTGGGGGTGCCAGAGGATGATTCATTTCTCATCTCCACCCAATCTTCTTACAGCTCTGGGAAATGTAACTCTTTGTCTAGAGATTAGAGAAATCCTGGACTCTTAAAAGCACAGAGTCTTCTAATCTGTGAGTGGTACTGCATTTAAAAATCAGATTATGGTAGCCAATAAATGTTTATTGAAAGGGAAGAAAGGAAAGGAAAAGGGGAAGGAGGCAGATGGGAGGAAGGCAGGCACATTTTCTCTTTTATTTTCCAGAGTGAAGCTTCAATCTCCTTGTTTGACTACAATGGGGACTGACTTTTAGCTCAAAATAGATTATGTGACCTCTGATATGACTTACAAATTGGGGGAAATCTTTCTCAAATCCCAATCTCCCTCCTTTGCTGTTTCTATAACTCCACAAAGCAGTGTGGAGGTGCCAGAATTAAAATACTGGAAGAATTTAGAGGTCATGACCCAGTGCAAAGGGAAGCACCAGGAGATATTTCTTGAAGCTAAATTTACATAGCAAGCATGTTGCTTAGGACCTGATATTTATTTGGGATTTTAAAATTTTATTTAAAAAAATTTAAAGACATGGTCTGAGCTGGGTGCATACTTACAACTCCTAGTGACTTGGGAGACTGAGGCAAGAGGATTGAAAGTTCAAGGCCAGCCTCAGCAACTAAGCAAGACCCTAAGAAACTTAGTGAAACCCTGTTTCAAAATAAAAGGGGCTGGGGATGTGACTTGGTGGTAAAGTACCCTGGGTTCAATCCCCAGTATTGGGGTGGGGCGGGGAATGAGACAGCAACAGGGTCTGGCTTTGAACTCAGGCTCAACCAATCCTCCCACTTCAGCCTCCCAAGTAGCTAGGACTACAAGATTGTGCCACCATGCCCAGCTCTATTTGGGATGATTTATAAGGGGTTTCTTCTTTCCCTCCTTCATATCTGCTTCAGGTTTTTGGAATGAGGAGGGTAAAACTGAAACTAAAACTAAAACCTTGCTGTGTATTCTCACTAGAGCATCTTATTAGTACTCAAATTTTAAATATATATATATTTGTTTGTTTGTTTTAGGTGGACATAACATCTTTATTTATTTTTATATGGTGCTGAGGATCGAACCTAGTGCCTCCCACATACCAGGCCAGCGCGCTACCACTTGAGCCACATCCCCAGCCCCAGTACTCAACTTTTTTTAACCTCACAGGCATCAAATGCCCAGCTCATCCAGAGCCCATCAGTCTTAGCCAACCTGAACACTTGGGCCTCTGAAACTGTCTGGAGCTAGTTCCCTGGCAGGAAAAGAAGGGATACAATGGGTGGGAAATGAGACATGTGTTTTCCCTTATCCTCAGGAGACATGAAGCCACAGCAGATGTATGCTAATCTGGGATTCTCTTTTCTAAACAGGAGAAGAAGAGGGAGTGGGCAGCCCAGATCAGGTTGGGTCAGGGCTCAGTAGCAGGGGTAAGAGAAAAGAGAAGGTAAAGGAGAGCAGGGTCAGTAGGGGACTTAATAGTGTTGGGTATGTCTGTCTAAAGAAACCACCACCACCCCAGCAGGATTCTTTTTTTTTTTTTTTTTTGGTGGCATTGAACACAAGGGCACTCTGAGCTATATCCCTAACCCTTTTGGGGGTTTTTTGGTATGGGGGAATTGAACTCGGGTATGTAACCACTGAGCCACATCCCCAGCTCTTTTTTATATTTTGAGACAGGGTCCTGCTGAGGGCCCTGTTAAGTTGCTGAAGCTGGCTTTGAAACTTGAAATCCTCCTGCCTCAACCTCCCAAATTGCTGGGATTACAGGAGTGCACTGCCACACCTGACCCTTTAATTTTTAATTTTGAGACAGGGTCTTCTAAGTTGCCCAGGCTGGCCTCAAATTTGTGATCCTTGTGTTTCAGCCTCCCAATAGCTAGCTAGGCTTATAGGTTTACATCACCACAGCTGCTCCCTCTCAGGATTCTTGAGACAGGACAGAAAATCCCTCAAATCTACCTTCCCTTTCTTCTTCCTACAGATCCTGATGGAATCAAACTTCTCATCGTGAGCCAGCTGTTGGTGAACATTTTGCTAACTCATACAGACTGGGTATGTTTCAGCACTATGGGCTTTAGGGCTCCCTCCCTCTTAAGCCTCTTTGTTAGGCTGGGAACCAATGATCTGTGGTCCCTAGTGAGTTCTTCCAAATTTCACACTGTGTACCAAGTATTGGAGTCTCCACTTCAGAGTCAAGAAATGCACAGTTCCTAATGGTAATTGCCAGCAGGGATATCAGGAAGGATGACTCAGTAAGACATAAAGTGGCACTCTCTTTTTCTTTTTTTAGTTGTAGTTGGACACAATATCTTTATTTTGTTTACTTAATTTTATGTGGTGATGAGAATGGAACCCAGGGCCTTGCACATGCTAGGCGAGCACGCTACCACTGAGCCACAACCCCAGCCCTAAAGTAGCACTCTCTTAGGAAGGATTTCAGTAATACGAATCCAGAACCTGGAATATGTGAGCTATTTCACTTGAGTTAAAAATCAGAGACTCAAAGATTAAGGTACAAAAATGTTAATCACAGCACTATTTTCCATAATAAAAGCTTGGTGTATTAGTTTTTCATTAGCTGTGACAAAATACCTGAAAAATCAACTTAAAGGAAAGATCTATTTTGGCTTATGGTTTCAGTCAATGGTTGGCTGGCTCCACTGTTCCTGGGCCTGTGATGAGGCAGTTCACCATGGCAGAAGGGTGTGGCAGAGCAAAGCTGTTCACCTCATGGTAGTCAGGAAGCAGAGAGAAAGAAGAAGGAGGCCTGTGGACAACCACATCCCTAAGAACCCAGTCTCTTCAATTAGGTCCCAACTCCTATGGTTTTCATCATCTCCCAAAAGTCCATTTAAATTATGAAGCCATAAATGGATCAATCCACAGATAAGATCAGAGCCCTCATAATCCAGTCACTTCCCAAAGGCCCACCTCTGAACATCGCTGCATTGGGGATCAGGCCTTCAACACATAATACTTAGGGGGATACTTCCTAATTCGCCATAGTACTTGGTAGTGACTTATAGACTAACCATGGGAGTCTGGATAGGTAAACAAGGTTATAGCCATACCACCAAATGTTATTATGTACACATTAGAAAGGTTTTTATATATTTTTTAATTACATGGAATAGTGTAACTGAAAACAGTGGGATACAACTGGGTTCGGCAATCCCAGGTACTCTGGAAACTGAGGCAGGAGGACCACAAATCCCAGGCCAGCCTGGGCAACTTAGCAAGACAGTATCTCAGAATAAAAAGATCTGGGGATGTAGCTCAGGAGCAGAGCACTCGCCTCAGCTTGCACAAGGCCCTGGGTTTTACTCCCAGTACCAAAACAAGCAAGCAAACAAGGCAATTATAAAATATCCCAGTTATATAAATGGTATCACCCTTATGTAGAGAAAAATAAGATTGAAAGAATATATAATATATACAATGTCTGAATCAGAAATTTATTATTGGCTGGGCTAAGCTACTTGGGAGGCCAAGGCAGAAGGATGGCAAGTTCTGGGCCAGCCTCGGCAACTTAGCCAAATTCTGTCTCAAATAAAAAATAAAAAGGGCTGGTGGTAGGGTATCTCTGGGTTCAATTCACTTACCCTGCCCCCAAAAAAAGGAAAAGGAAAAAAATGTATTAATTATAAATGCTAATGATTATTTCTGAAATAGGATTATGGGTGGCTTACTTTCTCTTTTCATTTTCCAAGTTATTTTATCTGGAAAAAAAAATAGTTATAAGCTTGACTGCTGTGTGTCAGCCACATTGGAACATGGTCCTTTCCTGCCCATTTCATATTGAATGAGCCTCACAGACATCTCTCCCTTTATACTGTGCTTTCCCTATGCCATCACCTCAGTGCATGAACAAGGAAATGAAAATCATTTTGCTTGGAGACTATATTTATTTTCATTTAAAAAATTTTTTTTAGTTGTCGACCTTTATTTATTCTTATTTATTTACTTATTTATATGGTTCTGAGAATGGAGCCCAGTGCCTCACATGTGCTAGGCAAGTGCTGTACCACTGAGCCCCTCTCCCCAACCACCAGGAACTACATTTTTTTTTTTAAGAGAGAGAGAGAGAGAATTTAAATATTTATTGTTTAGTTTTCGGCAGACACAACATCTTTTGTTTTATATGTGGTGCTGAGGATCAAACTGGGCGGCACACATGCCAGGCGAGCGCACTACCACTTGAGCCACATCCCCAGCCCAGGAACTACATTTATTGAGGGGGGGAAAAAAATTGAGGCCTGAAAATAAGGTTCTGGATTATTTCCATCCATCTCTACTCCATGACTAGAGAGAAAAATGCATAGGGCTCTTGGATATGAGGCCATAAAGTTGTAAATGACGCGCTTTATGGCCTCAGCCCCCACACCTGACTTGTTTTGGTGGAAGCCGGAGCCTCTGATGGGTAAGCATTAAAACCCATGACCACAGCTATTGGTACTGTTTAAAAAACACAGCACCCACCTCACGCCCTGATGAAGGACTTGTCTAGCAGCCTGGGCGTCAGGATTCCTGGGCTCCAGGCCCTATAGGTGACTCACAGTCAGCCCCAGGCTGTGCCTCCTGGCCTCAGTTTCCCTGACTTATTCTGTGGGTACTCCCACCTACTGTGCAGGGTGTTAATGGAGGTAAGGTGCTTTGAACTCCTCAGATGAAAGAGGCTAGGGAGGGAGCACCCAGTTATTATCCCCTCTATAGTCCAGCGTGGGAGCTGAGGTCGTCTGCTTTTATACTGTTCCAGCTACAGAAGCCTCCTCATAGCCCCCCACTCTTCTGCTTTCAGCTCCAGGTGCCAAAATTGGGAAGCAAAGATCAGTTGCCTGTTTTTTTTTTTAGGTATCAGGGATTGAACTCAGGGGCTCTCGACCACTGAGCCAGATCCCCAGCCCTGTTTTATATTGAGACAGGGTCTCACTGAGTTGCTTAGCATCTCTCTTTCGCTAAGGCTGGCTTTGAACTTGTGATCCTCCTGCCTCAGCCTCCCAAGCCACTGGGATCATAGGTGTGTGCCACCATGCTGAGCCAGTGCCTCTTTTAATACCTATTCAGAATAGATTTTCCTAAACTGAATTATCCAACTGTTCAAACCACCAGCGACCTTTCTCCTCAATTTATGATTTAGTAGTCTTAAAACATTTAGAGATGCCTAAATTCTTTCTCATGTTTGGCCACAAATACTGTGGGTTAAGAGCTTATCTAATCCACCCCCTTTGAAGTCTGGGGATTGAACATGGGGCTTCACACATGCTAGGCAAGTGTTTTATCACTGAGATACATTCCAGTTCAAAGGCTGTTAACTATCAATAGCAAAGGAGAGATACACACAATTCAAAAGATTGGGAAACAGCAAGGCTGACTTAAGTTCCAACTCCTCATCTGTTTTCCCCTTCCAAAATGGGTAATGCTTTAGTGACAGTCCCTGCTTTGTCAATCTCCAGGGGTTGTGGTGATAACCACCTGAGGATGTGTGTGGAGGCACTTCATAAACTGTCAAATTCTTCACAGATGTTAACCATCTGGAAGGTATATACAAATGAGACAGCTGGCACAACCCATCCTAAGCCCAGTCCCCTCCAACAGCCAGGTTACAACCACAAAAATAAATCTGGGGTGCCACCTCCTGGTTGGAAATATGAATGGCATTCCCATCCAGCATTAAGAATGGTCAAGGAAGCACAGAGCAGTATTTCCTGGCTTCAAATCATCTTAATTTTTACACACCCTCATAACAACTTAATTCTTTCTTTTGCGGGGGGTGGGTAACTGGGGATTAAACCCAGTGGTACTTTAGCACTGAGTTACACACCCAGAACTTTTTTTTTTTTTTAAGACAGTCTTGCTAAATTGCTGAGGCTGAGCTAAAACTTGCAATCCTCCTGCCTCAGCTTCCCAAATTGCTGGAATTACAGGTGTGTACCACTATGCCTGGCTAATATTTTTATTTAAATAACTCACTTTGCATACATTTTTCATATCTGAAGCAAACAATCTTTCAAACTTTTGACAAGCTAACACTTGCCAAAAATAGAGCAAAATCATGAAATAAATACAACGAAAATAAAATATTAAATAAGGTTTAGCTAGGAAGTGTCACCTGTGAAGGTCTGAGTGTGAAGTTCACTGTTAAAACTGAAGAGTGACAAAAGCACATGACTGGGGAGTAGGAGTCAATCCTCTCGTACAGCAGAGTCTGCACTCGGGGGAAACACTGACCTGTATGAAGAAACAGGACCCTCTAGAGGGTCTCTTGTTCTGCCCCAATTCCCTGGGCCTGAAGGATTGAAGAAAAGTTTAAAGCCACCAAAAGTAGAAAATAAACTCTATTATGTGCATTTCATCAAAACCCAAGGAAAGCCAGTGTTCAGCCTCCTGGTGGTACTTCTGGTGCAGCAGGGCCCGGAGCCCAGGGCATCACTGAGGGCACTGTAGGTGCTCTGCTCTTTGTCATGCCTGGCTTTTTGTCCAGAAGTCCTTTGCAGAGCTGAGTGTCCCCTTGCCAGCTGGAGGACCTGCTCTTGGGTCTGCAGTCTGTGAGCTGTCTGCTGCTTACAAGGAGCCTCCACTTTCCCAGATGCTGGGTTGTGCATCAGGGCCCAGCTTGTTGCTATAGCTGCATGGCTTCTTGTTCCACTGACTGGTCCGAGGGTGCCAGGTACTTCTCTTGGAGGCCCAGTGTGCTGGGGAAGGGTGAGTCAAGGCTGATGGTAGGCACAGGACTGGTCTGGGCAGTACTTAACCTCTACTGACACCCACCCTCCAACCATATCTAGCATACTCCTCCCATCCCCCTCTTTCCTCATAAGTGAAGTCTCAGGCCACAGGTAAAAGGGACCAATTAGGTCTGAGAAGTCTCTAAAACCTCCAGATGTATATGTGTCTATATTTCTTTCTTTCCCACATAGCTGAAGATCAGAGGACCAGAGAGTGCTAACCTTCCAGCTTTGTTAGGGCACATTCTACAGAGCCAGAGAGAAGAGGTTCAAATCCTGATTTTTTTTTTAAATATGTACTTTTTTAGTTGTAGATAGATAAAATGACTTTATTTTACTTTTATGTGGTGCTGAGGATCGAACCCAGTGCCTTCCACAGAGTAATCTACCACTGAGCTACAAGCCAGCCCCTCAAATTCTTTTTTTAAATTTTTAAAATTTTATTTTTTAGTTATTGGTGGACACAACATCTTTGTTTGTATGTGGTGCTGAGGATTGAACCCGGGCCGCAAGCATGCCAGGCGAGCGCCTACCGCTTGAGCCACATCCCCAGCCCCCCTCAAATTCTGATTTTTGCCATTCCTTTTTTCTTCTCTGTAAAATATCACTTGAAAGCTATTGTGAGGATCAAACGAGACTGTGAATATGAAGTTCCTAGTAGGTCCTCAATAAAATTTGTCACTTCATTGCCAGGAAAAGAACAAAATGGAGGCTCAAATAAAATGATAAATCTCTTCTTGGCTGCAGAAAGTGACTGCATGTTTGAAGCAGCTCCTTGGTCCTGCTCATTGTACTGCCATAATTAATTAATTTATTAGTTTTCCGAGGCAGGGTCTCACAATGTTGCCAAAGCTGGGCTTGAACTTGCACTCCTTCAGCCTCAGCCTCCTAAGAATCTGGGTTTACTGGTGTGTGGCATCATGCCCAGCTTACTGCCGTCATTTTATAACTCATCTGTCCTTCGAGTTTTGTTTCCTACATGTAAAACGGCCTGAATAAATGTTGGCTAGAATTACTTTCCTCTATACCCAAGGACTCTGGAGCCCCCTTTGTCTCCAGCTTCTTTTGTGGATGCTGAATCTCTCAGACCATAGCCTCTGTGACCCGAGGGACACCCCAACTGATCAATAACCCAGTTCCAAAGATCTGTCTCTTAAACAGCTCTAGATGTCCAATGACCCTCTCAAACAGTACATCTGCCAGCTCTCATCCCTTCAAATGAGAAACCTGCCCCCTCCTTTTGTGTGTATGTGGGGGGATTCTAGGAAGTGAATCCACAGGTGCTGGACCACTGAGCCACATCCCCAGCCCTTATTTTTTAATTTTAAGACAGGGTCTCACTAAGTTGCCCAGGCTTGCTTCAAACTTGCAGCCCTCCTGCCTCAGCCTCCCAAGTCGCTGGGATTACACCTGTGCATCTCCCTACCCACCCATCCTCCTCCTCCTCATCCCAGTTAACTAGCACATCCCACTGTCTAAGCCATAAATTCGGGGGTCCAACTCTTAGTACTGACTGAACGCTGGCTCTCTGCCCTGAGCTGAAGGCCGCACTCCAGCAGAACACTCAGGCCCTCCACTGCCAGTCCTGCCCACTTTCCCTTATGCCGGCATCTCCTCCCCCTTCACATGCAACACATCAGGCAAACTGAACCCTTTGCACTTTTCCCCAGGGAGCAAATGCCCTTACATTTTTAGGCCTCTGTAGCTACTACATTTCCAGTCAATATCCTCCTTTGTTCTGAGTACAGCCACCCTGAAGCATTCTAAGGGACCAACCTTTGCACATAAGAAAGATAGTCACCAGAGAGCCAACTGGTCACCACCGGGGTGGTGATGGCACCTCCATGGCCATTCCTGAACCCCATGCTTTATACTCCAACTGTGGCCAGGAAGCAGGTGAGTCTAGGGAGTAAGGATACGAGGAGAAATGGAAGTCAGCTCCCACTGCGGCAGACATCATGGCCTCCAAGCTTCGCTGCTCTTGTACCCCAAAACAGTAGCCGTTGGCCTTATCCACAGCCTGTAGGACTCGCTGGATGCTGTCCTTGTCCTGAGCATGGAGAATAAATAAATGAGTGAAAGACAGGTATGCAGAATTGAGGCTATACCAAACGGCCTACAATCTCCAAACACATCCTCCTCACTCCTCATCATAATGCCCTTGTGCATGTAGCTTCCTGGAGTAGTTCTGTGTGTCCCAGAGGCCTAGCTAAATCCCATCTTTCCTGACTACCAATCCACCCGAATCAGAATGGATAAGCTCCTTTATGCACATTCAGTCCACTGGGTTTATTCTAGCTACTTGGGAGGCTGAGGCAGGAAGATCACAAATTTGAGGCCAGCCTTAACAACTTAGTAAGACCTGCTCTCAAAATAAAAATAAAAAGGTCTGGGGGTGTGACACACACCTGTAATCCCAGCAATTCTGGAGGCAGGAGAATTGCAAGTTCAAGGCCAGCCTCAAATATTTAGTAGGACCCTCAGAAAATTAGCAAGACTTAGTCTCAAAATAAAAAGGACTGGGGATGTAGCTCAGGCCTGGGTTCAATCCCCAGTAAACACACACACACACACACACACACACACGAAAATTAAAAAAAAAAAAAAACCAGAAAAGAAAAATTTAAAAAAGACAAGTTAGTTCAATTCTACCAACTACAAAGGAATCTAACATGCATCTGTGTCTCCTACGTATCTTTGCAGAAGGCAAGATGAGACGCACAGGGGTGGGATACTGCTTTGCAAAGTCAACAGTTACCCAGATAAATGGGCCTAACACACTTGTTACTGGTCAAGTCCCTTGTTGATAACTTTCTGCACTCATCCATTTTTCATACTGAGGAAAAAATGTGTAGAGAGGACGCAGTGATATACAACAGATAGGGCAAACTAAATCCTGCTCACTACAGGACCTGATCCAGAATACAAGAGAGCCCAATGATAGACTCAGGACAGAGACCATTGTTTAAGCTCTGAAAGCTTTATATGCCCTTGGCTAATGAATCCCAGGCAGCCAGAGCATATGACCAAGGGGAAGAGATCTCTCAGTACCTGTATGTTCAGAGGGATAAAGGAGACCAGGCTGTAGTCTTCAATGAGCTGCACCAGTTTCTCGTTGAGCTGGCGATAGTGGCGGAAGAAAGGGTCAGAAGCCAGGTGGTCAAGCAGATAGGAGAGGTCAAGGACCTCTGTGTAGTAGTCCAGGTTGAAGGCTAAGGGGAGAAACCAGGGTTCAGGAGCAGCCAATATCAGGCTAAAGACCTGAGGACTGAAGGGCTGAGGATGTTGCTTGGTGGTAACATAGACACTTACTAAGCATGAGGCCCTGGCTCTCTACACCCAATGGAGGCAAAAAAAAAAAAAAAGGCCATAATATATGGGCTTTGGGTGTAGCTAAGTCATAGAGTGCTTGCCTAGCATGTGCAAGGCACTGGACTTGATCCAAGTACTGCCAAAACAAAACCCACAAAGACTGGGGCAGATGTATTTTCTTTAGTCACTCAATACTTCTTGCTACCGTAAAATGAAGTTAATAAGAAATACTAGGTTTCACCAGCTGTCTCCGTCACTTACTAGCTGTATGGACAGGTCTCCATCTCCATTTTAAGCATTAAAAGCTATAAACCGGAGCACCTCGTTTATAGGTGACTAGTGGTAGTAAATAACAATTTCAAATAGGTATTGAGAACTGTGCTTAGTCCCTGCCTCATGAAGCTCAGCCTCGTAGCACCTGCAGGGCCTGGAACACACACTACAAGGACCCTGTAAGTATTGGTCCAGTTGAATTACTGATACATTCCAGGCATGGCCTCTTGGGTAAATCACTTTCCCTTTCTAAGACAGTTCCTCCTTTTTTTTTTTTTAATATTTTTATTAGTTGTTCAAGGATCTTTATTTTATGTACTTATTTATGTGTGGTGCTGAGAACTGAACCCAGTGCCTTGAACATGCTAGACAAGTGCTCTACCACTGAGCCACAACCTCAGCCCAGTTCCTTCTTAATATAAAATGAGGAGACCCAAATAGATGCTCTGAGGTCCTTGAGTCAGTTCTGTGAATTAATTTCCCATTGAAAGAAGGAAAGTAGGTCTCCCTACACTGTCCATTTCTGCCCAGAAAAGTCAAGCATTTGGGCTCCTTGGCAGGAATGTCCTGAGATGAGGTGGCTCCTCTCAACGTACTGACATCCCTTCATGTCTTGAGAGGCAGTTAACCTCCCTGAATAAGGTCAATATCACGTCACTTCCCCAACAACCTCCCTCCCTGTGTACTAGTCATTTTAGCTTTTCTTCTGTAAGCTCCTTTATGGCTGGATATGCTATTTAGAGAACCAACACCTCTGATACAACAGAGCACTAATTCAGCAGGAGAAAAATGCTGGCCACTGGGACCCTAGACAACTCCCCTGCATCTCTCTGCCATGTGAGGACAGTGTCATAAGGTGGCTGTCCACAAGTCAGGAGGAGGCTCTCACCAAACCTTGGATCTTAGACTTCTCAGTCTCCAAAACAGAAATAAATGTTTGCTGTTTAAACCATATAGCTAATGGTATTTTTGCAGCCCAAACCAACACAAAGCCTTTACCCTTAATGGACCCTCTGCCTAGAACAGTCCTCCTTTAATTGGCTCTTCACCATTCAGTTGTCACTGCCTAAGAGCAGTAAGACATTCTTCCCTCCCAGCCACTCACTGTCTTATCACCTTGTTTCCTTAACACATTACCATCTGTAGCCCTCTTATCTCGAAAATCTACAATAGCATGTGGCACAAAATAAACAGGAGTTAGGACCTGCTATGGCTGCTACCACACATGGTCCCAGAGATCTTTTTCACTCCAGCCCAGCTGCTGCCCTACTCCTTGCCAACCCAAAACAGGAACTCTTACCCAGTTTCCCATAATGCTCAATGAGGTCCATCTTGGAGAGGAGGTTGACGTGTGGCAGCTCCACATGCAACATGGTGGCCAGAGAGGTACATAATACTGAGATGAACTTGGCTGGGTCTGTGCAGTAATGAGAATCCACAAGATGGACAGCAGTCAGCTGGGAGGGGAAGAGACAGAGTATGACCTCGGGAGGCAGGGAACATTTTGGCTTGCTGTTTCATCATATTAGAAGCTTGAGGGCAGACTGTAAACCTTCTCCAATAGTCTCCTCCTGGTCCTGTTTTGTTCTAATAGCCATTCTCATGCTCTTCTCCCAGAAGATATGGGGTCACTTTTTCTCCTTTTTTTGTTTGCAGTACTGGGATTGAAACCAGGAGTGGTTTACCACTGAGCTACATCCATAGCCCTTTTAATTGATTTTGAGACAGAGTCTCATTAAGTTGTTCCTTTTTTTCTTTTTTTTGGTGGAGGTGCTGGGGATTGAACCCAGGGCCTTATGCATGTGAGGCAAGCACTCCAGTGAGTATTATCTCCAGGCCCGCACTAATTTTTTTTTTTTTTTTTAGTTTTCAATGGACCTTTACTTATTTTTTTATGCATATGTGGTGCTGAGACTGGAACCCAGTGCTTCACATATGCTCGGCAAGCACTTTATCACTGAGCCACAACTAAGCCACCCCCTCCCTACTAAGTTTTGTCTCCTCTTGAACTTGCAATCTTTCTCAGCTTTATGAATGGCTGAAATTACAGAAGTCCCCCACCCTTTTTTTTTTTTAAATAAAATGCCTGGCACAAAGCTCTAAGTGGACAACAAATTCAAATCCCAACAATACATCCGCCTCCATTCTTTCACTTACTCTTGTCTACCAACTTTATATATAAAACTCCTTCCCTATTTCCCAAAGTGTCAAACTGGGTACCAACATATCGTTTTGCAGGTAAGAAAACAGAAGTTCAAAGAGATCCCACCCAGAACACACAGCAAGTCAGTGGCAGAGACAAAACTGGAGCTCATAACTGTTTTTACTTCAAAGCAACTTGGTCTCTAGCTCACTGTGTAACATGAAGGTGTGCCTGTCTTCCTTAGTTGCTCCACCTGCAAAATGGACCTGCCCAAACCGAGACGCACCCTGAGATCCCACTGAGCCATCTGCGAGAATATGCTGCGAAGGGCGCCGTGGTGCGTGCACAGCTCCACCTGGCCTGGACAGTCGAAGAGGAAGTAGTGGCCGCGGAGTGGGTCCAGCTTGGCCCGCAGCCAGTCCAGGTTGGCTTCCAGGTACTCCATGCAGTAAAGCAGGCCGCCGTTGGGTCCCAGCCTCAGCTCATCCATCACATCACCCAGTCCCACTAGCTCGCCCACGTCCACAGCGCACTCGTATGGCAGCCCTTCGTTGGCCGGGTCCAAGTTCACCACCGCCACGCGCCGGCCCAGCGCGCGCAGGAACTCACTCATGCCCAGGCAGTAAGTGGTCTTTCCTGAACCCGGAGGGCCGATCACCGCCTGCCCGAAGGCCGTGGCCGGAGCGGCTCCCGCCATGGCGAGAACGTGGTCCGGAAACGAACAGATGAACCCAACGGGAAAACAGGGTGGGCACCTGTACAGGAGATGAAACTACGGGCGGGAGACCACCGACGTGCTCTCTGCAGGGAATGATGACCGCAACCCAGGGAACCCGCGCCGGGAAAGGGCAGCAAAGGGGGCCGGTACTGAAGGCACCAGCTCCCGACTTCCGGGCGGCGTCGGAAGCAGCGGGGCGGGGAGAGGAAGTCCCGCCCTAAGGCAGCGGCGCTACCAAGCTGGGCGTGGCCACACAGAAGGGACTTTCGCTGTGGGAGCGTGGGTCTGTCTTGGGGACTTGGCGAGCCGGACAGCACCAGTCTCGATCCTCTGATTTTTCCCCAGGCCCGGATTAGAAGAGAAAAGCGATGTCCGGTCGTAAACCTTTTTATTCTCCCATTACGTCGCAGGCCCGGGCCACCTCCCGCGGACTCTCGGTAGCTGGGTCCCAGCCAGTGGGGGCAGAGGCGGTGGATGGTCCGTCTAAAACCTCTTCCAGGGACCACAAATCCTCTCCTTTCGCCCTCTCTCTGACCTCCATGGCGGCTTCCTTCAGACCCCCAGGGAAGATTGTGTTAATGGTCTCCGGCAGTCCAGCTCTAGGTACTGCGCAAGCCCAAAAGGGACTAGGGGTAGGAGGAAAAGGTCCTTAAGCTCTAATATCCAAGGATTGGGGGCTGTAAAAAGCCCTGAGGTAGAAAACGGACAACATCCAGGGATTGCTGCTTCCAGACTCCTTTCTGCTTCGGTAGTAAACAAGGCCCAGGCAGAGGGCTGTCATCCTGCAAGGAAGCCTCCAACCCTCACTTAGGCTCTGTGGGGGTGTCCAAGGCACAAGTGGAACCCCTCACAAAGGCCATGTCTGTCCGAAACTTCATGCTGGTGGGTGGCTGACGTCGGAGCAGTGACTCCCTCTGGTCCTGGGGTAGAGGCTCATCATATATGGTGGAGATGAGCCCCAAGCCAGTTCCACGGGGCCTCTTCGGTTGTCCAAATGGCTGAAGCTTCTCTCCATGGTACCTGGAAAGAGCTCTCAATAAGAGGGCTGCTGTCTCTGAAAACTCAGTAAAGGGGTTGGAAAAGGACAGGGAAATAGCTGCTACATAACTGTGTCTGAAAGACACAGCTGCCTTTTTTTTTTTTGGGGGGGGGTACTCCTGTGCTGGGAATCCAACCCAGAGCTTTGTGCAAGCCCACACATCCAGCCCCCCAAAAAGAGCTTTAAGTCTGGAATTTTGCTCTCCAGCCTCCAGATCTATCTATTGACAGATAGTATCAGCAACAAGGGACCACAGATAGAACTTCTATCACATCACTACAGACTCCCTAACAGTTTTCAAGTCCAAACTCAGACTAAAAGTAAAAACTCTCCCAGGAGATCAATGACTACCTTGTCTTAGGGCTTGGTCTAAAATAAAAATGAATAGTGCCAGATCCACTTTTTTTTTTTTGGTTCCAAGGATTGAACTTGGGGTCACTCAACCACTGAGCCATATCCCCAGCCCTATTTTGTATTTTTTATTTAGAGACAGGGTCTCACTGAGTTGCTTAGTGCCTCACCATTGCTAAGGCTGGCTTTGAACTCGAAATCCTTGTGCCTCAGCCTCCTGAGCTGCTGGGATTACAGGTGTGAACCACCACGTCTGGCTCAGATCCACTTTTTCCTTCTAACTTTGCTTTGAAGTTCATCCCCTAGGAGTACTCAGCACCTATCCCAAAACTAGCAGGAAGAGGAAAACCAGGTCACAGAAGAAAGGCTGGCTTGAGTCCCTGGGAAGTCCCTAAGCCACACTTACCCCAATCCACGCTTACATCTGGGATGCTGGCCATCACCATCCAAGGCCTCGGGTACTCCTGAGCAACTGCTGCCCAGACCCTGGCCCTCAGCCCAGCCCTGCCGCTCCATCACCCTCCGGCCAATGCCCTGTAGAGAGAAGGGACAAGATTCAAGAAATGGGGCTCCTTCCTAGGGCATGAGGAATGGAGATGGGACAAGGAATAAAGACAAAGAAGGAAAAGAAAGGGGTCAGTGGAATGGGCACAGTGCTCACTCACCTTGGTGTGGCGCTCAAAGGTGCCCACCTGGTGTTCAATCACAGAGCCATGTTCCTGGCCATCTCGGAGTCTCTGTTCTAGCCGCATTTGGACAGAGTCTCGGGCATCCTTGTCTCCACCATCTGAGGAACCAGAACCCAGTTTGCAGAAGGGTCCTTCTCAGTGAAGGGGCAGGGGAGGGACCAGGTTTCTAGGATCCCCTCACAAGATTTACTGATATATTTTCTTGGTATCCAATTATATTACCTTCTTTCACTCATTAGAGGGGAGTGTGCCAAGAGTAGGAACCATGGCTCTCCTCATTATATAGATAAAGAAATTTTGGTGCAGAAAACTCACGGAGCCAATAGATGACAGATGAAATCAGAACCCAGGTCTCCCCCCAACCCCAGGTCATTTTTTACTTCAGAGCTATGCTCTGATCACCGCTTGAGTTCCTGATCACCCCACTTCACCAGGGCCTATACTCATCAGACTCAGATCTCCCTGAGGACTGTCCTCATATGTCCTTTCTCCTCACACAGCAAGGAAAAGGCTCTGTTCACAACCAACACTTAAAGTACTCAAGATGTCAAGTAGTCAGCCCTCTGTATCTACTGGTTCTGCATCTGTGGATATAACCAATCGTGGATTGAAAATACTCTGGAACTTTTCTCCCAAAATGATACAATATAATATGGATATAGCATTTGCATTGTATTAAGTCATCTGGAGATGATTTTTTTAAAAGAGATAATGTAAAGCATATGAAAGGATGTGTGTAGGCTATAAGCAAATACTGAGCCATTTTATTACATAAGGGACATGAGTATCTGCAGATTTTGGTATCCGTGAGGATCATGGAACCAGTCCCCTGAGGACAGCAAAGGAGCTGGTCTCCAATCTGTCTCAGTCAGCTAAGCACGCCTGGCAAAGTGTCACCCCAAGGCCAGGACAACAGTTCCACCCCTTTTGCCACCCCTTGCCCTGTACCTTTGTCGTAGTACACACTCATGTCCACATCCCAGTCATCAGCTGTCTGTTCATCAAAGTCTGCAGAGAGATAAAAGCATTCAGCAGAGTGGGTTAAGAACTGCCAATTCTGTTGACAGCTAAACATGGTCCAGAATCTGGGGCTTTTGTTTGTATTTTCAGGAAGGTAATTCAGAATTGGAATTGAGGTGTTTTTCTGTTCCTCACTCCAAAAAGGGATGACTGCTCTCTCATATACAATAAAAGAAGCCTGTTTCCTAGCTTTTTGTTTGAATTCACTGTCAGGAAACCCACTGTGGGGAACAAAGAACCCTGAAAGAGCACAGAGAGTTCAACTGCCCTTGCCTGAGTGCCATCCTCCTAAAATTTGGATCTTAAACATCCTCCCAAAACCCAGATTAAAATTAGCTCGATCCCCAGATTGAAAGATGATGAAAACTTTTAAGGGTGGAGGGCCTATAGCCCAGTGGCATATGCCTGTAGTCCCAGCTACACAGGAGGCTGAGGCAGGAAGATCACCTGAGTCCAGGAGGTTTTTTATTTATTTTTTTGGGGGGGGGTTGCCTGGGATTGAGCTCAGGGGCACTAGACCACTAAGCCACACCCACGCCCTATTTTGTATTTTATTTTACAGAGTATACTAATTTTGTGTGTGTGTGTGTGTGTGTGTGTGTGTATTGTGCTGTGCTGTGGATTGAACCCAGGGCCTTGTGCATGTGAGGCAAGCACTCTACCAACTAAGCTATATCCCCAGCTCTTGTATTTTATTTAGAAACAGAGTCTCACTGAGTTGCTTAGCACCTCGCTTTTGCTGAGGCTGGCTTTGAACTCGTGATCCTCCTGCCTCAGCCTCCCAAGCCACTGGGATTATAGGCATGCACTACCACACCCGGCAAGCCCAGGAGTTTGAGACCAGCCTAGCAACATAAGGAAACCCTGTCTCAAAGAGATGGGGCCTAGTGAGAGGTTTTTGGGTTATTTTTGGGTGTGACCTCAAAGAGGCCTATGACACCCTGGTTTCTTCCTTCTTTGTATCCCAGCCATGAGATGAATGGGCGTGGTGTACTATGTGCTTCCCTGTCAGTGTGCTGCCTCACCACAACTCTTTCCCCCAAAAAAAGCCCCAGGGTCAACTGACCTTGGAATAAAACCAGTGAACCAAAATAAACCTTTTCTCTCTAGAAACTGATATCTCAGGTACTTGTTACAGTGACAGAAAGCTGACTAACACCACCTTACCTCCTTCTTCCTCCTGCCAGAACTGGGCATCAGTGTAGAATACTAGGCCAGAGCCACCCTTCTCCCACTTAAGCTCAATCTCCTCTTCAAAGAGCCGTTCAGTGGTCCGCTCCTGCCTAGTCACATCTTCATGCAGTGCTTCATGTCGCTCCCACTCCTCACCCCGGTCATCATCCTGGAAAAAGGTGGAAAGAGGTGACCTTCCTGTTCAGCTCCTGACCTCACTTCCCTCCCTAAAGCCAGGCATGGTGGTGCTCGCCTATACTTCCAGTGGCTGGAGAGGCTGAGGCTAGGAGATCAGGAGTTCAAAGCCAGCCTCAGCAACTTAGTGAGGCCCTAAGCAACTCGTGAGACCTTTTCTCTAAATAAAATACAAAAAAAAAAACACAAGGGCTGAGGATGTGGCTCAGTGGTTAAATGCCCTGGGTTCAATCCTCAATACCAAAAAAAAAAAAAAAAAAAAAGTTCCCTCCCTAGAAGGCTCCATTCCTTCAGATGTCTCAGAAGCAGCACATATTTGGCCCTTGAAGCCTTCACCAACACATCTCACCATCCCAACATTGCTCAAAATAGTTTGCTCCTCCCAGGAGCAAAACTCCCTTTCAGTTCTGTGCTCCTGGCAATGAAGATCCTCTTGGCTGAAATATGTGCCCTCTCCTCCCACACCAGTTAGATCTCCACTTGGTTAAAGTTCATCCCTCAAGTCCTATAGCCTATTAAAGGCCTAAAGGAGGCTGGGGATATGGCTCAAATGGTAGCCCGCTCGCCTGGCATGCATGCGGCCTGGGTTCGATCCTCAGCACCACATACAAACAAAGATGTTATGTCCACCGAAAACTAAAAATAAAAATTAAAAATTCTCTCTTTCTCTCTCTCTCTTTAAAAAAAAAAAGGCTTCTCACCAGTCTCTGAACTCTCAGTGCTAATCAACACACAGTTTAGGTCTTTATGTCTTATGTTACAAAGAAAGAAGAGGCAAGAACTAACAAGTTGGGGGCTGGGAACATAGCTCAGTTGGTAGAGTGCTTGCCTAGCATCCATAAGGCCCTGTGTTCAATCCCCAGCACCACCAAAAAAAAAAAAAAAGAACTAACAAGTTGTCCTAACAAAACCCATCGCACTTGATTTCATATATGAGCCAAGTTTGGACAAAGGAGTTGAAGAACTATCTATTTTGCTGACAGAGTTAGTGTAGAAGCTGGTGGACTCAAGGTCAGAAGCCAGTGGTAGCTGCTCAGCCACGCAGAGAAGGCACACAGAGGTTAGAGAAGTAGCAAGGAGGACTAGGTTCCCATCCCAGCTCTGCCTCTGCTTCCTTAGATGATCTTAGGCAAACTGAACATCTCTTCATCAGTACATTTCTATGAAAACGAGCCTTCCTAAGGTTAAAATAGCTTTTAAATTAATTTTGAGATTTTTAATTCAGTATTAAGGTTTTTGTTGTTGTATTAAAAAAAAAAAAAAAAAAAGCGCACACACCTGTAGTCCCATTGGCTCAGGCGGCTAAGGCAGGAAAATTGCATGTTCAAGGCCAGCCTCAGGAACTAGTGAGACCCTGTTTCAAAAAAATATGGGGCTAAAAAAAGAATATATATATGGGGCTGGGATTGTAGCTCAGTGGTAGAGCACTTGCCTAGCATGTGTGAGGCACTGGGTTTGATTCTGAGCACCGCATATGAATGAATGAATTAATTAATTAATAAAGGGCCTCACTGACAATATAAATAAATAAATAAATAAATAAATAAAAATAGGCTGGGGTTGTGGCTCTGTGATACAGTGCTTGCCTAGCATGTGAGAGGCACTGGGTTTGAGTCTCAGCACCACATATAAATAAATAAAGGTCCATCAATAACTAATAAAAATATTTTTTACATAAATAAATAAAAATTAAAAACGGGCTCAAGATGTGGCTCAGTGATTGAGTATCCCTGAGTTTAATCTCTGGTACCAAAAACAAAAGGAACTTTCCTTCCTTCCAAGAGAATCAAAAGAAGTACCATTTAAAAAATCTTTTTATATAAACTGAGTGCAATGGTGCATGCCTATAATCCTAGCAGCCCAGGAAGCTGAGGAAGGAGGATCACCAGTTTAAAGCTAGCCTCAGCAACTTAGCAAGGCCCTAAGCAACTCAGCAAGACCTTGTCACTAAATAGAATACAAAAAAGGGCTGGGGATATCTCAGTGGTTAAGTGCACTGGGTTCAATACCTGGTACCAAAAACAACAAAAATCTTATATAAACCATGGACCCTCTCCCTCAAATTAAATATACATATGTATGTATGAATATATATATACACACATACATACACATATACATATATGTGTGCATGTGTATATATACATATGTACATACACCTACATATTGGCATGTATGTATAGTGTGAGTGTATATAGACACACATACATATTACATGCAAATCCAGTTTTATAGTCAATGTCAGGGAGTTCTCATACTCCTTGGAAGCCTCATGAGGACCCCAGGTTAAGAATCCTTGTAATATATGGAGCTCAGCAGCAGAGCGCTTGCTTAGCACCTGTGAGGCACTGGGTTCGATCCTCAGCACCACATAAAAATAAAATAAATAAATATCCAACTACAACTAAAAAGAAATTTTTTTTAAAATCCTTGTAATATATAATTGAAACATAGTATTATTAATGCTCTGGCCTCTTTAAGCTGCCAACAAGGACAGGGTGTATAGTGTACTCACATCATCTGAGTGAGACTCTTCTTCCTCCTCTTCCCTTTCATCCTCTAGCTCTTCATAAGGACCAGCTGATGTATCTGCCAGGCAGGTTCCTTGGGGTATTTCCTCGCCCTCGGCTGTGTACACATGCTCTTCTTGTTCCACAGTCTCTGAGTCCTCATACTCAAAGGGCACATTGCCGTAGCGGCGAGAGGACCCTGTCTTAGGGAACTGGAGCTGCAGCTGGGTGATGATTCGGGGTGGTAGACGGCAGGCCCGAATTAACTCCAAAAAGACCCGTAGGGGAGTCCCCACATTCCCATTAGGCATCAGCACTGGTGGGTTCAGTTCTGGCAGCTGCCTCAGGTCAGCCAGGGTGAAGACTTCATTATTGGCCTTCCGATTCTGTAGTTCCTTCCGGGTCTTAAATGGAAAAGAGCCCAAACCTTGAGAAGAAAGAAGAATGGACTTTGAAAACCAGAAGCCTCCAGCAATACTTGAGCCAGAAATCAGTCAAGGTTTAAATGCATTACCCTACTGAAGTTCCCTTTCAAATTTCTCTGAGTCCCTTCCTACAGCAGTTTCATGCCACTTCTCATCACCTTGGCTGAGCACATAAGTTTCTTAGATTGGCTCCTGCTGACTTTTTTTCCTCCTCCTCTGTTTTTTGTTTTTGGCACTGGGGATTGAACCCAGGGGAGCTTTACCATTGAGCTACATCTACAGTCCTTTTTAATTTTTTGGACAGGGTCTGAGTTGCGTAGGGCCTTGCTAAATTGCTGAGGTTGCCCTTGAATTTGTAAACCTCCTACTTCAGTCTCCCAAATCACTAGGATTGTAGGTGTGTACCTACACCAGACTTTCTCCCTCTCTCTCTGCTAGAGATTGTAGGGCCTTGTACATTCTAAGCATGTAGTATGCCACTGAGCCACACCCCCAGCCTCATACTGACCTTCAGCGTCAACTATCACCAACTCTCTTCTCCTGCACTCTCTCATAGCCAGTGTTCTAGCCACACCAAACAATTTAACATACCCTGAAAGTTCCACAGAATTTTTCATCTGTGTCTCCAAATGCCATTTACTATGAACACCATACTTACTTATAATTCTTACTAATCTTTCAATATCCAGATTAAAAGCTACATTTCCTAAGATCTCTAGGAATTCAGTTCCTTCTTCCTGTCACTCACAGTACTTGATAAGAAGCATAGGCTCCAGCAGTGTGTGGTAGTGGTGTGCACCTACAGCCCCAGCTACTTGGGGCTGAGACAGGAGAATCACCTGAGCCCAGAAGTT